GCATAGAGAAAAAATATGGGGTCAGAATTAGTCCTTTGAGGCTCTTTCTGTGATTACTACAGTAAGATTGAATGTAAGTCATGCACAGCAGAACATGCCAGATTTCTCATTTTAAAATACTTTTGTGTGTGTGCATGTGTGCGCGCACACGCGCAGTGGTCTTCAACCTGGTTAGATTTGGAAAATACCAGCTCTTAGCTGTTGCTCATTTTTTTGAGTACAGAAGAATATTAGAGCATTTTTTTTTCCTGTTGCAAAGAACTTGGAAAGACCCACAACAGGTTACAATAGCAGTGCTCAGCCTCGAGCCTGCAGAGAGTCCCCACAGGTCTGGAAATCTAGCAGCAGGAGAGCAGCGGTGCTGCTCTGCTGCCAGATCTCTGGGCCCTATGTGTCAACTCTGGCACCTTATCCCAGCGCACAGGAGTGGGTCAGGGGGTGGTGCTGGGCTGGAGAGGGGGCAGTGCTAGCTTTCTGGGACCCAGTCTGGCATGAGAAGGTCTGGTGGGGGTGGTGCCTGCCACCTTGGACCCAGTCCTGGCATGGGTGATAGGGAGGGGACGATGCAGGTAAGATCAGGCCCTGGGGGCCAGCTTATGTCATCTAGGCCACTCATTTGGCCTGTGGGGCCAAAAGTTTGAATACCACTGGGTTAGAATGTTTTTGACACTATGGATTCCTACTTGAAATATCTGGATTGGTCTTGTGAATCGGACATAGGTGATGGTGCTATATTGTTTGGCACCCTTAAAAAGATCTTATGGCAGGTTCAAAATCACTTTATTAATAGAGTTACTCTACAGTTTTAGTATTTGTTTGTAAAGGGACGTGTATGTCATGAAATCCTCTAGGGTGGGAAAGTATGTAGACCGTTTACCTGGGTAGCAATGTAGTAACTGGACTTGGCTGATTTAGAATTTAAGGGTCAAAATGGACTTTTGGAAAAAAGAATGATTGGCCTTTGTTTTCTAGCGCAGTATTCTGAAAGTCTTTAGCTTGCCTGTAAAGCTTGCTCATGCCATCAAGGAGAGCAAGTCACGAAAGGAGTACTGATAGCTTCACTTTTACACTCAGGGCAAAATTAGTGTAGATAGTGTTGTTATTTAAGGAGTTGGCTTCAAGTACTTGTTTGCTTGAGTCTTTACACTGGACCTTTTGTTCTTTTCCTTTTCTTTGTTCAATGCATATTCACTTTTGAACGATTGGCTTCTATAAAGTCCTGGGCCAAGCAACCACTGAGTATATGAATGTTTAGAACTGAATTTATTCTCTGTTATAACTTGAAAATGTGTCTGTTTGTTTTTGTTTCCTTTTTTCTTCCCCTCCCCACTCTCGGGTCCCATACTCTTCAGTTTTTCTCTGACAGGTGTAAACGGCATGTAGCTGCCAACATGTCTGTGCTCTTGGTCAAGAGGTGAACCCACGCTGAGTGTTTGGTGCCACCCAGTACTAGCTCTAGAGAGTTTTCTGCCCTAAGCAAACTATAAGATGTCTGCCTCTCCCAGGCTGCAGTCACTCACTAACATATTGCTGCCTTGGGTCATTCCCCCAGAGTCTGAGCACATTACAGATGCTGGTACAGTCAGTTAAATTCTAGGAATATGTAGCATACATTCAGAATACACTTTAATAGCTCTTGAGCGCTTGAAAAATATGGCAGTATATCAGGAGGCCCCACTTCTTCAAAGTGCAACTTGTTCAGTTAAGAACAGTTGCATGTGTTTCTCCCCCCCCTCCCCCCCCTTGAAAAAATAATATAGTTTTTAATTCTCATATCAAGTTGATATCTTCATTTTAAGCTGTAGCTAGGATGGACAGCTATTTAAAATTTTGCCTTAAAATCCTAAAGGTGAGAATCTGCAGTTGAAACTTTAATGCTCTTTACACCAGTGGTGCTCAACCTTTTTGACCTTGAGGGCCAAGTGACTGGGCTGGATTGTGCCCCATGTGCCAGGATTGAGCCCTGGGGCCCAGCAATGCCCTCTCCCTGCCCCTGCATGCCAGTGCACAGGCCCTGGGGCTGCCCATGGCCTGGAAATTTGGCAGCAAGGGTTTGTTGTCACTGCTGTTGCCCATGGCCTGGAAATTTGGCAGCAAGGGGTTGTTGTCACTGCCATCCTGCCACCAAATTTCTTGACCCTTGGGGGACCCTATGGGGCAGATAATGCATAGCTGTGGGCTGGGGGTTGAGCAGCTCTGCTTTATACCATCTCATTGCTCAGCCCGCAGCACTAATTAGAAAAAGGAGCTTGACTACTATTAAATAAATAAAAATGCACCTATGAAGGGAAATAGAGCACATGTTCCATACCAGTATAGTATTAGTCCTGATATAGGCCCTGATGTATCATTATCTCATTCTCTTCATTGAGAGATGCTGTTCACTGTGTAAAAGAACTGTTACCAATTTTTATACTACTTAATAACTCTTTTAAAGATAGCTATTGAAAGATGAATCTGACAGTAGAATGCAATATTGTATACCTTTTCATAATTCTGATTCTCAGTGGCTTGTTGTGTGACCTCAGACAATCAATTCATTTTCTTACTATATCTCCTTGGGTATCGGGGTAATGGTTAAACTAACTCCGTGTGTATGTTGTTCTTACTGCTAGTTGCTGCAAGCATTTTGAACAGAAAAGCCAAAGAGAAATGTCAAATATATGCTTATTAAGTAATCATGCTGCTGTTTTATCAAACCCTTCATGGGATTTTCTTTCTCTTGTGCAGAGTATGATTTCTGAGTAACTCTAACCTCTACTGGACTTCTAACTTTTATTTTTGACTTCCATCTAATTCAGTCCCTATGTTAGGCTGTAGTATAGAGCCTGACATAAGGAGGGCTTCACATATCTACTTGCCATTTGAGTTAGATTTGTTAATGTGCCAGGAAAAGCTTCCAACTTGATTAGCATAAGTAGATTTAAGCCTTTTTTCTTAATTTTTCAAGTTCTTATGACTGCAAGGAGAACATTCCAAATATAACTGAATGTGAATAATGATGGCTTTGTCTTTCCAAAAGTGCAGATAGATTACTGACTTTCATTTTCTACTGAAGCAGCAGTATAAAATTGACCAGACTTGGGGCAGTTTTCCTATTACTGTTCTGAGCCCTGTAAAATTGACCAGAATCATGTCAATTTATTTTTCTTGGAAAGCTTTTAAGGTAGCAACTATAGTGTAGTTGCAGCTCAAGGATTTCACTGGTATAAAACCACCCTCACCAACTCCCAAATATGAATTTACCTTGTAAGTCTAGTCCTATGATCAATATTTACCGGTTTAATATTTTAAGTGTAATGTGGCAATAAAGTAGCATTTGATCTAGCTTCCTATATGAAATATGCCTTTATTTTTTTAAGTTACCACAGCAAAGTTCTATTCTTACTTTAAGCCTATTAAAAATGGAACTAAATCTGCATCATTATCTATTTTGTTTTATTATTGCAGAACTCTTTATTGTTTGGGCTTAAGAAAATAATTTATTCAGTCTTACCAGCTAATAAATATGTTGTTACTTTTAGACCTCCTTTATATAATAATTTATCTTGATTACACTTTAATGGAAATATTTTTGACTTTGTGTATATCAAGGCTGACAGCTGTGTGAAGAAATACTTGCATTTCACTGGTAGCTTTCTGTTTTATAATACAGTCTAAACACTTTCACTTTTTTCTGCCTAGGTACTAAATTTACTTCAGTGAAAGTGCTTGAAACTAGCTGTTCTGTGAAAAATACATTCCTAGTCAACATTCATAACAGGTTATTTTAAATCTATTTTGGGGGGTTGTTCCCACCCATAGTGAAAGATGAAGGTTGCTTCCCACTATAAACTAAACTCTTCAGTTTTATTAGTCTAAATGCGAACTAACTTTATTTTTTTCCCCCCTCAGAATCTGGTTTATAAGAACACTACTCATTTTCTTCTTTTCCAAAAGAACAGAAAAGAATAGTAAGTTTATTTCCAATCTTTTAAAAAAATGTGTGAAACTAATTAGGAGTGTGCTGCCTTACCTTTCTTTACTGGCTCTCAGCCAGGGTGCTGCCACTGCTGTAGCCAGTTGGAACTGTCCTGTGCATCATGTACTTAGCTAGCTAAGCCTACAACAGGCAGGAGCCCCCACTCCTATTGTGAGAGATGCGGGGCCATTCTACCTGGCCAGTGTTGCAGTGCCACCTGTGCTATAGCCCTCTTGCTTGAGAACCACTGGTCTAGACATCTGGTTCATTTTCTCTCCTCTATCTTGCTCTTCTCTCTGACCTTTATAACACTTTCATGAAATCGCAATAAGGTACCTTCAGTTGGTTAAAAAATGTATCTATAGTGGTTATCAGTGGTTCATTGTCAAAATGGGGGGATGTTTCAAGTAGATCCATCAGGCATCTGGTTTGGACATGGCTCTAATCAGTATTTTCAGTAGTGACTTGTATGGTGGCATAAAGAGTCTGCTTATAAAACTCGTAGGTGACCAAACTGGGAGCACTTGTAAGACAGGACTTGGAATAAATTGAAGAAATGTCTCTCGAGTTTCATTTTGTTGATTTCAGAGCAAGTGCAAGTTGTTAAACTTGGGAGAAATCAAATGCGCAATGTGAAAAAGGAGTGACTGGCTAGGCAAGTAATGCTGCAGAAGAGCACCTGCAGAGGGTCTAGTGGACCACAAATTAAATGTGATACAAAAATGAAATGCTGTTTATGGCAAATCTCATTCGGGGAAGTCTTACCATGAATGAATTAAGTCAGTCACCATAGGTGGTAATTCTTCTGTACTTGGTCCTGATGAGGCCTCAGCTTGAGTACTGTCTGGTTTTGGCTACCACATTGTAATGAAGATGCAGACCTATTGGAAAGGGTTCTGAAGAGTTAGATGAATTGAGTGGCTTTGAGGAAATGATGTGTGAAGAAACCTTGAAAAGGCTGAGTTTGTTTTTTGTCTAGCAAATACATGACTGGGGAAAGGGAAGAGTCGGTGGCATATTTAACTTTCCAGTATGTAAATATTTCTTTTACAAGGAGGAGGATGTTCAATTGTTCATGTCAACTTCAGATATGAGGAATCTTAGTTTAATTTGCAGGTTAAGTGTTAAGAAAAGCTTTTTTAGTAAGAGTCATGCAGCACAAGAGCAAGTGACCTAGGGAGATCATATGATTATTAACTACATGGGAGGTTTTTTAAGATCAGGTTAAATAAACCTCTGCCAGGGATTTATCCTGCAAGGAATGTGGACTGGGATAACCTCTTGAGGTTCATTTCAGCTTTCATTAACTTTTTGTAATGTTGCACTCTGCTTTTCAGCTGCTAAATTGAGTTGAGAGCCAAAGATGCATGATATTGTAGTCCGATGATATCATCAAGTGACAATTACTAGAAGTTAGAGGAAGGGCATTTGCACTATGAATTTATCTTGTGGATCATTCTTGCTCCCCTTTTCCATTCCTGTTGTACTAATCTATATATGTAAACATTTCTCATGTTTTAAAATTATTGCAGTACTCCGTGGATCTGCATTTGAAGCTTACATCGTAGAGATGTACTTAGGTTGCATGCTGTGCAGAATGCAGCTGTTCCTTAAGTAGTATAAGTCACTGTAATATAATATGGTAGTTGTTCAACTGCACTTGCACTACTGGTGCAGTTCAAGGTGCTAAATGTTTAGGGCTTCTAGAGAAGTTATCTACTACTGTCTATTCATCTACCATAGAAATTCCCTGTAGTTCATTGGAGGTCAGATGTAATTTGTATGACTAATAAATTTCAAATGTGTCTAATTCTGGGAGTAACTGATACCAACTGGTCCAACTAGTGGTGGTATTAGGTCTTGCAGCATATATTGTTGCTCTCCTTTGCGACTGAATAGTTATTAGCTGTGTTTGTGTATATAATATTAATTCTGTACATCTGCCTATTAAATACTAAGGAGTTTATTTTATAAATTAGAAGTAAAAATGGCTTGTTGCATCAAAGCAAAGACTTCTCAGCAGAGGTGTTATGCTTGAGTGTTAACTGAATGTGCAAACTAGTATAAATTCCTTTTAGTTTTGAGAAATATTAAAGCTGTTCCAGGAGGCTTAAGTAATATAAAAAAAATCTTGTTTTTCTCTCTCCATTTAATTGGGATGATCTAAATAATGGTTATGTAATTTGATCACTTCAATTTTATTTTTGCCTCTACTTTTCCCCAATGTTATGAGCTACATTTCTGGAAAAAATGGCACTAACAAAGTAATTTTGGAACCCACAAAATGAGATGTATAGAGGAAGAGGTTAGGTGCTAAACTTTCAATAGAGGAGGAATACAAGATGGTAAATACTCTCCTATATTTTTTCTACTTTAGTAAAATCCTTTATTCTATGAGTAGTATTCTATGAAGAAGGTAGCAAAGAATTGGTAGCATCAAGGGAATTCATTCCTTTACATTACTCGCTGGCTTATTACAGTGAGGTTTTTTTTTCCGAGTGCCAAATTGCTAACATTGACTTCCAGGAAAACTCCCACGTGCATTTGACTTCATTTTTTTTTCTTACAGAGATAACAGAGGTTAGGTGTTGTGCCTACTTTCTCTAACTGTGTCCCTTCTCTTTGCTGTGAAATGACCTTCTGGTAGCAATAGCTTCTCTTATAAAACTGGAGTTTTGTTAGAGTTTGGAAATGTTGGAAGGGTGAAATATAGATTCAGATGTTAAGTTTGCAATTGATCTAGCATTTGAAACTAGTCTGTATAACATATTTCCTTGAAGTATATTAAAGCAGGTGAATCTGGGTCTCTAATACATGTATTAAAACTTGGATTTAAGGCTTTTCTGGTGAGTCAGACTCCTTTACAGTCTTGAGCAAACTTTGCCTGTTGTACTGATTTCAATATAGGTCAAAACAGGTCTTGTGCTAGAAGTAGTTTGCTTAATAAAGTGGTACATTAAAAGCGTTTATAGTTGCATTGTCACTCCAGCTATACAGATAAAACTAAAAAATATAACTTTTATAAGAGACCTTATTGTCATTTAAGAATTTATATTATCAAAATATAAGATTTGCTGATATGTTGGTATGAATTGGGGCCAGCATATGAACATTTTCTGATCTCACAATTGGGAGGATGGATATTCAACCTACGTGTGCTGCAATTAGTATCATTTTTTAAATGTATAAAATGATCCAAATCTTCCTTTTCCTTTTTAAGGTGAAGCATTAGAAGAACTAAAATCCCAAAAGAAAAAAATAGTAAGTAAACTTTACTTCAAATAAAATTGTTCATTAAATGTTATTTTTATATATACTTCCTGCAGTTCTACTGATTGTTTACCTGTTACATAGCTTCAGAGTTTCATTTTTTTAACTCACTTTTTGTTTTCATGCGTTCACAATATAGTTTGAGTTCCCCTTCATCCCACCAAGAACTGGTTAGAACTAGTTCTTGCATGTGAAAATCAGTCTTGTTCTTTTTTTTTTTTTTTTTTTTTTTTTGGTTGAATCAAAGATCTTGGGGCTGTTGAATGTACAAGCTTATCCTATTTAATGATGGATTGCAAAAACGAACTTTAACCTATTGGTATGCTAACTAAGCTTACCTTGTATGGTGAAAAGTGTCTGCTACCCTAGTACAAAAAAGCAAAACAAAACACATCCCCATGATTTAAAATACAGTACGCAATAGTTGTCTGTTAACTCTTTATTCAATAAGCATAATTAATATAATAAATAAAAACAAGGTTTTACAGGCAACTGTCACAGTTTTCCTTATAACCTAATATTTAACCCTGCTTTACAGAGATTATTTGTAATATTGCTACTGCTAGGGAAGTCATTACATTGATAGAAATATTCTTTTCTGTGATGCGGAAAGGAAGGAGAAGAGGG